GGGGCATTTCTTTAGGGAACTTTGTTACAAGTATGGGGTTTATTTATCGCCGCTAGTTGCAACGTTAATAAGAACAAAACATTTAGACATCAACAAGAATCAGTCTATTATAAAAGAAGATGGAAACAGACAAGGAACAAACAGCACCGACTCCAACAGTCCAGTGAAGGCACAGGTGCAAACGGTCACCAAGAGTACAAGGTAAACGCCTGGCAGAACATAACAAAAAGATGAAATTACAGCTCGCCAAAATGAAAATCGTAGAGTCAGAACCCGAGGTAAAGTCGGGAAGTAAGTTCAACTTAGAGAACCTTTACACTTAAAACAGAAACTTGATTTTGGGTGGCCTAATAGTCGGAAGAATCGCACTAGCGTTATTTTTGAAGAAGCCCGCTGCTCAAACGAAACCACCGCCACCCGTTCAAGCAACAAAACCCGCGCAAGAAGTTTTAGACACGGAATAAATTAAAAACGCTATATAATAAAACATGAGTAACGCAAAATCTATAGGTGTAAAAGGAATTGCAAAAACCATTTATCACGGTGCAGTAGTCAGTGGCATTTCCATGGTAAAAAAACTATTGAGAATTACACCGCCCGATTTAGATTGGTTGTCGGTAGACGATGTAGCCAAAATGACTGCAGTGGCCAGCGGCGCCTTGGCCACACTAGGCCGGCTTGTGTCGCAAGGTATCATACCAGGTAGTTTCAGTTAAAATCGGTTTATTATAAATAGCAGAAGGTGCATTTCACCCAGAGGAAATTCCTCTGTTGGATCAAGATAAAGAAGAAACAAATCAAGATGATTTAGATTGGGACGATACATTTGACACAACGCAACAAGAAACTAATTTTTTAGAAGGTCAATCAACGATAGAACCCAGATATGATACATTAGAACGAGGGAAAAGAATGATAATTAATGGTAAGGCAGACGATTTCTATAAACATTTTGAACGTGATCGAACAGATCTTCCGACTGTAAAACATTATCAAAATTTTGAAAACCGCACAGATCAAGGTCTATTTTACAAAGCCGTTGATATATATGGTTATGTGTTGTTAACTGACAAAAGAAATCCTGATTTATTTGTAGAGCTTGACACAATCGCAAAAAATGCCAGAGATGCTGGTTAAACTGGGAAACAAAATGATCCAGCTGGAGATTTTATTAAATAATCTACAGGGGTTTGTGGTGCAAGGGCGGTTTGTGGTGCAAGTTTTGGTTGTGGGGTTTGCCGGGGAATCTGGGTTGGGGATTGGGGGTTGTGGGGTTTGTGTTTGGTTTGGGGGTGGGTTTAGGGGTTGGGGAAGGTACCCAGTAGGGTAGCAATGTCACTTTATTTTGAAGATTTCACCTTCTTTTTAGTCGTTTTCACCTTTTTTAGCCGGGTAGGTATAGGAGAGTAAATTTGGTCTAGCACGCTGTCATTTACAATACTGAGACAGTGTGAAATATTTACGATTTCTTTTAAATTATAAGGGTAGGGCAGCAAAAACCTCTATATCTGTCTAACTAAATAGCCAAATTTCTAAAAGCCTACACGATTTGACTGTTGGACCATAGGGAAGTTGATTTCTAGAAAAATGTAGATTTTTGGAGCTTCAATTAAGTTGGAATTCATAGGGAAAACATCGGAATGAAGCAAAGGAGACAGTGTGAAAAATGTACGAATTTATTTTGAGGTTAAGGGTAAGGCTACAAAAAGACTCAAACTCAATCTGTCTAACTCACCTGCTAAATTTCTAAATACGTGCACGCTTTGAGACTTGGACTATTGAGGTATTGCTTTCTTGAAAACTTTAGAGTTTTGGAGCTTCAGTTATACTGGAATTAATAGGGGAAAACATCGGAATGCAGCAATGAGACAGGGTGAAATGTGTACGATTTCATCTATGAAGTTAAGGGTAGGGCTACAAAAACACTCCATAGCTGTCAAACTTAACAGCAAAATTTCTAAATACATGCACGATTTAAGTCTTCTGCTATTGAAGAATTGATTTCTTGAAAATTTAGATTTTTTATTTTCAGTTGTGTTGGAATTCATAGGGAAAACATTGGAATGCACAAGAAATGAGACAGGGTGAAATGTGTGCAATTTTTTAAAGTTAAGGGAGCTAGAAAAAACTCCATTATCTACCCAGCTTAATAACTAAATTTCTAAATACCCGATTGATTTTAGTCTTCAATATTGAGAAACTGATTTCGTGAAAAAATTGAGATTCTTGGAGCTTCAGTTAGGCCTATGTACGAATTAAGAGGAAAGCGTCGAAATCCAGCAAATGAAAATTTATTTCTTGAAAAATTGAGATTTTTGGAGTTTCGGTTGTGTTGGAATTCACAGGGGAAACATTGGAATGCAGAAAATTGGACAGGGTGAAATATTTTCCATTGTGTCTGAAAAGTTGAGTGTAGGGGTACAAATAGACTATACTGATGATCTGGCTGTAACTAAATCGCTAAATTTCTAAATACCTGCACTATTTAAGCCTTCTACTATTGAAGAGCGAATTTCTTGAAAATTTCGATTTTTGAGTTTCAGTTGTGTTGGATTTCATGGGGGAAAACATCGGAATGCAGCAAATGAGACAGGGTGAAATAATTATGTACGATTTTGTCTGGAAAGTTGAGGTTATGCGGGCTCAGGCTACAAAAAGACTCCATATCTTTCCAACTAAATCGTCAAATTTCTAAATACCTGCACGATTTGAGTCTTCTACTAATTAAGAATTGATTTCTTGAAAAATTGAGATTTTGGAACTTCAGTTATGTTGGGATTTATGTGGGAAAACATCGGAATGAACGTACGATAAGGCCAAATATGTACGAATTTCCACGGTTACGGGTAGGGCTACGAAAAGGCTCAATACCTCTCAAACTAAATAGCCAAATTTCTAAATAGCTGTTCCATTTGAGTCTGGGACTATTGAGAAACTGATGTCGTGAAAAAAATTTAGATTTTGGGAGCTTCAGTTATGTACAAATCCTTAGAGGAAAATGTCGAAATCAAGCAACTTGGAGACAGGGTGAAATATGTATGATTTTATGTAACGATAAGGGTANGGGCTACAAAACACTCCATATCTGTCCAACTAAGTCGCCAAATTTCAAAATACCTGCACGACTTCAGCATTAGACTATATATTGAACAGCTGATTTCTAGAAAATTGAGATTTTTGGAGTTTCAGTTTTGTTGCTAGGCTTTGGTTGCAGCTGCTTTGCGTTTATTCATGGAGGTAGAATTCTACCTCCATGGTTTATTTATTGCCAAATGACCGGATGACCGAGGTCATATGTGATTAGTATGGTTCCCTGACCACAAATTTCCCAGACGTCTCCATACATAATCTTAGCGGGAGTAGTCGGAATTATAAGGACTGGTATCCAAAGGAACATAAAATTTGCTACGCGAATACGCTGCGCTTGTTTTTGTCACATGGTGTGCGGATCGTCGAGCGATGAGGGGTAAGGATTGTAGAATGAACCTCATTTTATGATTTGTGCCAATGATATACCACCAGTATATTGAACAGTATATCATTAGACGCTACAAAATACAATCAATCAAATCATCTCGGAGTAATTGCAGAATACCCCCCCACGCGAAAATTACCCCCTTGAAATCTTTGGCTACGAGTACGATGTCGAGCTGCTGTGTTGCATTTAGCCCACTACTAGTACTAGTGGCACTAGTGTAGCACGGACTCTCACTCCTGATCCATCCTCAGCCACACATCCGTATACGCAATTTCATGTCGGCGTATTGAACATTTCGGCGCACCCACTTATCATCGTGGGTGCAATTTCTTCTAAACTTCTAAACTGCTGCCAAAGTTTTGGGAGAGCCCATTGGTACATGTAGTATCTTATCGTCATCAGTCAGTTTATTACATATGTCTTGACATGGAACAGCCGTTGAGACGATGAGGGGTCAAGTGATGTATTGTTCAACGATCTTATTTTAAAGATGGCGACTGAGTGAGCGAGCCCATTAGATTGAATGGATAAAGGCAAAAAGACTGGAAAACACCTGAATAACGTGAGTGAAATAATTCAATAAATGGTTTTTAGAAAACGGAAAGGTCAAGAATCATGTTCGTGTGCAAAAGAAATTGCGCCCATGATGATAAGTGGGTGCGCCGAAATGTTCAATACGCCGACATGAAATTGCATATACGGATGTGTGGCTAATGATGGATCTGGAATGAGAGTCCTTGCCACACTACTGGGGCTATGTTGCATTGTGAACAAGCTGTGTGAAGTGGTGCAGTAGAAAACGGTCAAAGAAGCAAACGAGCAAAGTTGCAAACGGACGAAATGGGTCTAAGTCCAAAGTTAGTGCCGGTTTGCGGTGGCTACGCGGATACGATGTGGAAGTGGCTAAAAAAGGACGAAGCAACACAAAGTGAATGGGATGTGTAGGAAATATTGTGAGTCCAAAGTTAGTGCCATTTGGCGGCTACACGGATACGATGTGGAAGTGGCTAAAAAAGGACGAAGCAACTCAAAGTGAATGGGATGTGTAGGAAATATTGTGAGTCCAAAGTTAGTGCCATTTGGCGGCTACACAGATACGATGTGGAAGTGGCTAAAAAAGGACGAAGCAAGACAAAGTGAATGGGATGTGTAGGAAATATTCCAAGTCCAAAGTTAGTGTTCAGTATGATTTCATGGATACTAACAGTGGGAAGGAGTGACCATGGGTTGTCATGGTGTCAACAAGTTAACATTCATGCATCAGTTACACAAGTTAACAATGAAAGGGTGGCGTTGAAACTGTACATGTGCAGACGAGTTAAACGTATTGTTTGTGTTGTGTGTCTGTTTACAGAAAACAAGTGCTTTTAAGTACCTTGGTTGTGTTTACAGAGAGTAATTGTGAAATACATGGAGGGGGCTGCCAAGAGAAGACCAAAGCATTGAGGCATCCACGTGTGAAAAAATGGGGAGATTGGCGACAGAGTCAAAAGAAAAGGTCGTGCCCAGTCTGGTAATGGTAGATTAGTGGCAGGGTATCCAAAACTTTGTGGAAGTCAAGCGTGGTTTGCCTGGCTATTATGAGAAGCACTGGAGGTAGAGTCAGTAGGATTTTTTATTAGCGAGTCTTGCAAGGCTAGCAGCATAATAAGGGCGGTGTGGTTTTTGATCACTGAAGTATATATATCCCTTTTGTTGCCGCAACATTCCTTGCTGATGGAAAGAGGGGGATTAGAAAAGAAAAAGCCAGTTGAAATTAAGGAAGCGTGGGTTAAATTACCCTGTCACAACTAGCTATACATGTATTTGAAATATGTCGTGTATCGAAGAAGCGAGATTTTTTGTTGCAAAATGAAAAAGTTTGTTAGAAAATGTAACGTTAGAGTCCAGCATGGCAGTTCAAGCACCAAAGACGAAAGCATCCAAGTTGTTAAGGGCCCCTCATCGTACCAGCGGCATCAGGATAACTGCATCGGTGAGAGATTCATGACCTACGACAGGTTGTGTAGGGAGATGTCATGGAGCTTCGACACCACTGTAGCATGGTGCCAGAACATGGGCTTAATCGCAATACAGATGCTCTGTCCTCACTCCTGTGAACCCATGAAGATCGTGGAAGCAGGAGACAGATTGGACCACCAGAAATGGGAATGCCGCAGGCAGGTAAATGGGAAGAGGCATCGCTGAGAAAAGTCCATCTGCAACGGAAGTTGGTTTTCACAGAGCAACTTGTCACTGGAGGAGACATTGAAACTAACATATTGGTGGTGTTGCGACCTCACCCAAGGACAAATTTGGATGCAGTTGGAGAGCACACAGCTGTGGACTGAGACAGGTTTTGTTGCGAGACGTGCAAAGTAGTGATGTTGGACATGGATAAAAAACAAACCGGAGGGCCGGGGAAACATGTCCAAATTGATGAAAGCAAGATTGGGAAGCGAAAATACTACCGGGGACACCGGTAGTGGAAGGGCAGTGGGTATTCAGCGGCATGGAGGAAGACTCCAGAGAATGTTTCCTTCTCACTGTGGAGAAGCGTGATGAGGCTACTCTTCTACCATTCATACAGGACTGGATTGCCCCCCGGCACAACCATAGTATCGGATTGCTGGAAGGCATACACAAATTTGGAGAAATGTGGATAAGTACACGAAACTGTAAACCATTCCAAGGAATTTGTCAGTAAATTCGGAGGACACACTAACAAGATTGAAGGACATTGGGGACAAATGAAGGCCGGTATGCCAAGTCATGGACGGCAAAAGTGTCATTACTTTTCATTTTTAGGCAAATTTTTGTACCGGCACAAAAACAAAGGACGGGACATATTCATGTTGTTTGTATTGGACGCAGCAAGGTATACAATGTATATATATAATCCAGCCAAACAGTAGGCGATAACAATATGTAAGAAGAATGGGCAGCTTGGGTAAGTTGATCTGTGGAATTGTCCATGTAGGCTATACATACTCATTTGGGAAGAAGTTAGGTATCCGTTTTTCAGTAAGAATAAATGTTTAGTTTTGCTACTTATTACCCTTGAAAGCAAAAACAAATCAAGGAATTACCCTTAACAGCAAAAGCAAATCTTTTACCCTTAAAAGCAAAAGCAAATCAAAGCCCCCTACAGCAGATAGTGCAGACATGCCACGTCTGCCGATTCGAACACGGGCAGTTCCAAATTGGGCATTTTACGGCCAATTGTGATTAGGTGAAGCTATTGGCTTATGTACAAAAATCACTGAGTGCATAACGAAACCCTGTGTGAGTAGTCAAGCGCGACATCGTAGCCGGCTACGATGTGGGAGAGGTGAGTGGCAGGGTATTCTGCAATTGTGCCACCATCTCAATCCAAAGTATCCTGCGACTAATTCTAAGATCATGCATGTTGCACATTAGTCATCACACTGCACCAAACAATGTGTGTCTACATGACAGTCTTGACAGTATAATTATAGGCCTAGGATTAGGCTTAGCCCCCTGCAAAATTAATTAGGCTAGGGCTTAGGCCAATATGGGCCCTTCCTGGATGGATATCAATCAGAGAGAAGTCCTCTACTCAGCTCTGGAGCAGATTGGCTACAGTGATCTTGTCCAGAGCTTTGCAGTGAGTATCCTTACATGTACTACATGATGATGGGAGAAAACCACAGTCCAAGGTCCCTGTTGCCTCGAAAACTTACTCTCATGGAAAAGTTTACATCCAGAACTAGGCCTACCCGGAAATTATCCAGCTAGGCCTGCTTATGATCGGATGATAAGGCCTGCTTAACAATTTGGCCAGTTGTCCGAAAGATT